AAAAAAAAAAAAAATCATGTGCTCTATTCCCAAAGCCATACAATTCTTGCATGTGATGCAATGGCTCAACCATTTATCAATTAAAAAAAAATAATGTGCTCTATTCTCAAAGCCATACGTGGATTATTAAAGTTGATGTGATATAAGAACTTTTCGAAAAACTAGTCCCGTCAGGAAATAGAGATAGAAAAGTGGAAAAAGATTTTTAAAAATAGTGAGATAGGTTTGTGATTGTGAATGAATAGTTGATAAAAATGTAACAACTAACGATTAAAGTTGATGTGATATAAAAATAATAAAATATAGATTGATAATGACTAGTAGCATCAATGAGTGAGGAAATATCGTATTGTTGGAGAACATAAAATAACGATTACTTTTTTCTTTTTTTATTGTGTAGTGGAACAGTAGAGAAAGAAGTGAGATTAAAATAATTAGTTTTTTTTTTTTGTGTGTGTGATTTTTTATTTTTTTTTTTCATTTCCCAGTTTCTATGAGATAAATCTTAACTGAACAGCCAAAAATGAGATTATTCAGATCCAATTGCCACTTAAATGAGTTCACAATTACCCAGAAACGTATGAAATAATTTATTTATTTTTTTTGTGAAAAGGCTGGAGGCCGAAAAAAGCATTTCCTTTGTGATTTACATCTCAGTAAACAGTCAATCAAACTGATATAAAACTATTATAATAAAAGATACATATCTGAATAAAACATAAAATTAGATCACCGATAGCCAGGCAGAAATTGATTCAGATACTCCACTAGCAAAAATGAAAGTTCGGTCGTTCAATAATGAAAAACAGACCTGAATGTGCATTAGGAGTTGTTCTTGTGCTTCAAGGTTTTGAGCAATCTCTTCACAAATTTTGTCATACTTCGATATCTCCTTTCTAAAAAGATCCTCATGGGAACCAGTAAAAGCCATCAACTTGGGCAGTATATCATCCTGAGCCACATAACAGATTAACAACAATTTAAACAAAAATACCAAATTGATTCAGATGAAGAAATTAAACCTCACAAATAAATTTAAGATAAGTAGAAGAGATAGTTTTATTCGTAAAGTACATTCCATATCTGAACTACTGTTTTGTTGCATAGACATGATTAAAGCACCACCTCTCTGTTAAAACAGCAATGTCAGCTTTACCAAATTCATTTGCGTTTTGAAATTTATGACCCTCTACCAAAATTATTTTGCTGTCCATACAAGAAATGGAGCACAAACACGAGGAGTACTAATGCGTTATACAAATTAAAAAAAAAAAAAAAATCAGCTAACACCATAGCTACCACCATAAAACACAGAATGTTCAGAAAAAGAATACATAATCGACCAAACCACTTAAAATATCCTACCTTCCTCTTCATCTCTTTTAGCATGTCTTCAAGGCCAGCTCTTTGAGCACCCAGCATCTCCAGCTGCCTCTGCAAACATACACAATCATCAATTTTACCACGGTTCCAATTAAAAGTTCTCTAAGGGGAAAAAAAAAATAAGTTCAGGAATCGCAATTGATCATATTCACACGCTAAGGGTGTGATTGGATATGAGTTATGATCAAACTCGACCGTTGAGTCATTTCATAATCAATCACCTAGTTCAAAATCCAACTCGACCCAACCCTCCTGCTTTTTATAGATATAATTAAATAATATCAACAATCATTCTCACACATCACGTCAATTTTAATTCACTCACATAGTTTTAGCTACCTATCACTTCCTATAATCTCTCACTTAATTTTACATCATATCAACTTTAATCATTACATTTTAAACACTATTTAATTTCAAATCTACTTTATTAAAAATAACTCACTTTAAATCACCAAGTTAGGATCATAACTGGTTTTATCCATATCCAATCCTCCCCTAAAAGTTCTGTTAATATTGTCCTTCATTAGCATTTACAGTAATAAATACACCACAGGTAAACAATCTCTCTGTTGAAAACATTCCAAACTACAATACGTAACTACTAATCTCCACAAGTTACAAAACTAACCTTCTTATCCAAATCCCCCATAAGTCTAATAACAAGATTTTTGTACCTTCTGGAAATAAATAATTCAACTTTTCACTTCAAAGTCAAACAGTTTCTTTATTCCACCTTTGAGGGCTAAAATGGAACCCATAGGAGGCATACATGTCATTTCAGCATAATACTTTTCTCAAGTATTTGAACAAAGAAGAAGGTATGCGAAAGAGCAAGACGTGATTGAAGCAGTATTGTATCAAGGCATGATTAAAAGTCAAATGCACGAGAAAGACACAAAAACATAGCCCTGTGACTGAAAGCACCTCAGAAGCCGACGGGAATTTACAATTCATTTTACATAATTAGAAAGATCCAATACACTGCTACGACAGTCAAAAACCGACTTTATTTTGCATCAGTAGCCGAATTCTTTCAGTGCCAATCAGCAACATGAGATACACATACCACCTTGATATCCTCGTTGATGGCACACAATTCAAGTCAAACAACATACACCTCACCTTGATCATTATTGTTATACTGGTAAAAAAAAATTATGCTCATTGACAACATGATGGGGGGAAGGAGGAGTGCGGGGAAAGGACTGATAGTACAAACAAAAATATGAATCATGATAAGACCATCAAATTATGACCTCATGACTTACCAGACTCTGCTTCAGGGCTCCTACTATGGCATCTTCATTAGCATCCAGTGACATTATTGGCTTAGCAAGAGTTGGCAGAGCCGACTCAATCTATGACAAGCCAACAGTGAGTAACGTAAGGATTATAAGTTTGTTTCAAGTTACGTACAAAATAAATATTGTTAGAATTTAAGATTTATATTCACAAGGCCATACGCTACATACTGTCAAAACAGAAAACTTAATAACTAATGCAAAAGTATTGTATGGTAAGTCAAACTTGACCATATGTAGTTTTATTCTCAATTATAACAGTATTGATATTAGCACAACATGAACGAGTGATGATATTTTGGGTTACAAGGCCAAACCGAAGCTAAAAAATTTTGCTGCTAAAATACACTGATACTTAAACAGTAAGTTATCAGTTCATTGTTCAGCATTTATTTATTAAAAAAAGGTTCTGAATTTGGTCATGTCCAAAGATTTTCCCTGAACAACAATAACAGTGCACAGAGACTGCATTAACTGCTAGGATGCATCTAAAAGGTTTAAAGGATAGCAAAGCCAGATGGATTAATAACAAAGCCAATAAATCCAAAGTTAAGCTGAATCCAATGAGTTTGTGGGATACGAAATCCAGATAGAATTAACCAAATAATGTTTGACTTACTGGACGGACATCAAGGATTGACATAAGTGCTGAATGTTCTCTCACGGATCTCTCAATTCGAGCATCACTTTCTGCAGCTTGCTTCAGATTTGCTGCAAACCTATTTAATCTGTCCTGCAAGTTTTTTGTCAATGTACTTGATTGGGGCCTTGTCCACCGAGTTCCAAACTGATTCCTAAACTGTGAGTCATCAATTGCCTCTTTCTGTATCTGCTCCTCAACCTGTACCAACATCTCATGGTTTACCCTCCTCAAGTCTTTCAGCTGTTGAAGCTCACTTTCCAAACCAGCAGGGCCCCCACATATCTGAACCGCCTCTACATCTTCTTTTAGAGATGTTGGCAAAGTGAAGTTCCCTTCCAAAGCAAGAATAGAATCTGGTAAATCCATTTCCTTCAGCCTCACTCGAGCCAGTTCACTTCCTTGTTGCAATTTCTCAGCCTGGGTCCTAATGATGTCATCAAGCATCTCAGTGTACCTAGAAAGAGCTTTCGCACTATTGTCAGGAACAAGACTCGCAAACATCTTCTCTCTGCTAGCATCCAACACCTCGTTCATTGGCATAGGCTTAACCATGGAAAAAGTGGGAAGTGGTTGTAAAGAACTGGACGGAGGTACCCTCATTAGGTAAACTCTGTCATTCTCCTTCACCGCCCTCTCCAGGTTACGGTTCATATTGGCTTCTAATTTATTTATTGCATCCAATAGCTGCTGAGCTGCACCTCTAGGAGATGACTTTTTGGCCTCAGACAAGGCACTAACCCCACTTTTTAAGCGTGCAATTTCCTCAGCAATCTCTTCTTTATCATGTAGCTCTAAACTGTATCTATAGCAGGCCTCTGCATAGAACAAGGCTGATTTTAGATGAACATGAGCTATCCAGGCCTTCTCAAAGAGCTGGTTTAAAGGGGCAACAGTCAGAGCTGCCAGGGCTTCTTCGTAGAAAATCCCAACCTGCAACCAAGATCATTGAACTACAAGGTTTAAGAACTTATGTGTGACTAAGTAATATTTGAGTTAAGTTAAAAAATAAACAAAGACCTTTTCCACCATTTGTTTGTCAGCGACAGATGGAATAGGATATCATCTTGTGTGCCAGATGAAGTGACGAGAAGCACATTGAGCCTTGAATATATTTGATGATCTCGTATGTAGTTAATTTTTCATTCCACACATCACGAGTAAATAATTTTCAATTGCAGACAATGTAGAGGCAACTACAGCTAAGAGAAATTGTGTCCTTGAAAAATATACAAGGTGGTGTTCCTCCAAGGTAATTTAATCCGATCCCTCTAAAAGACGTACAAAGTTTGACTCATTGAATTCCCATTTAAGCAACCAAACTAATATTTGATTCAGATGGTAACAGTTTACCAGAGGCCTTTCCTAATTTCCCTACAGACAAAAGAACGCCAGAACTTCCGCATAAACAGAATAAGAAGCAATTCAGTTCAATAGGATTGGGAGGATCAAAGAAAAACAAAATAGATGAGAAGAAACGTGTGATGTAGAGACACAAATCATACTCACCGTTAATAGATCTGGAACCAATTACTAGAGTTCACTACACCACCTGTTCTCTAGAACATAATAGTTTCCCCTCAATTTGCTTATTTCTCCTAAAATGTTCGCCATCAAACAGCTGGCCATCAAAACCAGTTCATACACTAATATTCTTAACATAATAAGAAAAAACTAAAAGCTATCTCCAGTATTTTCACTGTGCTGGAAACTTACTTTCCCAAGATGAATTTCATAATTAACGAACATGCATAATCAGAAAATAAATGTAGATGTGGTGAAAAATAAGCAGCCGCAAAAGTACCTGTCTTGAAATCTTTGCACACACTCCAGGACTGCTCCCCTTAGCAATGGTATTCTCGTATACACATTCCTGAGCCTGGGCTAACATCAGCCTCTCCAACATTCCCACACATTCCACGGATACATCTACTGTAGTAGAGCCTCCAATTGATGCTTTCATGGCTACATTATCCCTCAAAAATGCAAATGCTCCAGCTGCTGCTATAAATGAATGTGATGCCTGTCGCCTACCCTCCACTGAGGATCGATCGAAACTTAATCCCATTTGACTGTGAACTGCCCCAAGATTAAACAATACTGCAGCTTTTTCTACATGAATCAAATTAAAATATCAGCAAATATCATTTCAGAAGTACCATGTCATCATCTTATGAGAGTGTTACACTGGTATCTCAAGTAAGCCCACTGAAACTTATCATTGCATACTTAAAGCCAGGAAATTGCAGATCATCAATCTTTTAGCAAGAAATTCTCTCGTAAATCGTTGTCTAATAATAAAGTTTTCTTTTAACTTCAGTAAGTAAGCTGCCAAACCACAGATTAAATTTTCCATGAGGATTACTATAACAAACATATGCCTAAGAATTGAAATTAGACAAGATTAGTTTTTAGTGAGATTGCATTTTTCGCATCAGCACATATATACCGCGTGTTATATCTGAAGAAAACTAATATATTCTGTAAAGGCACAGAAATTATTTCTCCAATGTCAACAATCTGAAAGGGGGAAAAGATGGTCGACTAATCGAACACATCAAAAGAGCACCCACCTAGATGTATATTCTGCTGAGTCGCCTTCTGCTTATTCTTAAACGCGTCAAACCAAGTGAAGGACACCGTATTGACATGATCTTTGTCCGGCGAAATCGGGAACCTGGACTCCACCGCGCAGAGGGCTTTATAGTAGCTCTGCAGGAGATCTCGCCGAGCCGACGGAGAATCGGCGCCGCCTCCGCGCTCGACTTCCGACCGGAGCTGCTTCAAGGTTTGAAGATCATCCTCCAGATTCTGCGCCTCGCGCTCGGAATAATTAATCACGATGAAATTGCGCAGCGGCCGGTAGAGGTCGAGCGAGTTCGTCTTCTTCTCGAAGATCGCCAGCATGATATTGGTTGTGGTGGTCGACGATGGAGACGTCATCGCCGGTGGTTGGAGCGGTGGCAGTTGATTGGAGGCGGAAAAAAATAACGAAAATAAGAAGAGTTGAGTAGATGATGAAGATTTTTCAAGTCAATGGCAGATTTCCTATTTTGTTCTGGTTTAATTTACCAACTACTATAATACCGTGTAATACTTGTTAAGAAATGATTTTTAAAATTAAATAATAATAAAAATTCAAATTGTTTTATTTTTTAAATATTTTTTTGAAAAATAATTATATTATTTATACTTAAAATGATACCGCTACTTACACGACTTATTATTTTATAATATAATTTGTTTAACTTATATGAGATAACTACTTTTTTTTGTTTTTTTGGTACAAAGAAATGAGGCAAGAGCTTAGCAATTTGAGGCAGTTATATTTCGCGAGTAAGCAACGCCAATGAGGTCATGCTGTAGCCACGGTTTAACTACCGATGGTGGGTCTCATAACCGTTGGCAACCACTAGGATATTGATGCGCTAGAGTCGTCAAACAATCGGCCACAAAATTAGCTTCTCTATAGGTGTCTTGGAGCTTGATTTGGATCCATTTATTTAAAATGGTTGTATTTTATTTATTTTGAAATGGAAACCTATGATTCATTTTATTTAAAATAGTTGTATTGTCGAGTTTTTGTGAGTGTTAGTATTTCGTAAGACTGAACATGTATATGTTGATATGTGTTGATCTGTTGATGCATTTGGTCTTTGATTACTGAACTGTTAGTATTTAGTAAGACTGAACAGGTTTATGTTGATATGTGTTGATCTGTTGATGCATTTTGTCTTCGATTACTGAATGAGTTCTTTTTCTTGATTTCAGATTCATTTAATGGCTCTGAAAGCTCGTAAAGAGATTGATTTATCATCAACAATAAGTGGTAAGAAAAAAAAAACGCTTATTTTACTTATTTTTATATTTTTTTTATCGTAATAGTTTACTTCAATATTTTGTAGCTACGAGTAAAAGAAAAGTCAATTCCAAAAAAAAAAAAATTAATTGTTGTCGACGTCAAGCGCCCCAAGTCCGTCACGTATGGTTGATTCGAATACAGATCCAACTGAAGGCGCCTCTTGCTTACCTGTAGCCAAAAAGAGCAGGTCTGAGGTATGGGATCATTTTTTAAGATTGAAAGTTGTCAAGGTATTGAGACTGGAGGGTTGAATGTGTTAGGTGTAATAAAAGCTATGGTTGTAAGAGTGATGTTGGAACTTCAGGGTTGTGGAAACATCTAAGAAAAACATGTTCGAAATGCCAAATTAAAAATAATTTAGTTGAAGCTCACAAACGTAAAGATAAAAGTCAAAAAGTCTTAAATTTTCAAAGTGCGAGTGATTCTGGGGATGGTAAACTCTCTTGTTGGAAATTCGATCAGGAAGCTGTACGGGAAGCACTTGTTAGGATGATTATAAAGGATGAACATCCTTTTAGGTTTGTTGAGGGAGGGAGATAGTTTTAAACAATTTATTGAAGTTTGTTGTCCCTGGTTTTCTATTCCATCAAGATTTACTATTGCTAGATATTATTTTTCTATGTTTGTGGAACAAAAGAAAAAATCGAAAGGACTTCTAAAGTCTCATTGCCAAAGGGTGTCTTTAACTACCGATAGATGGATGAGTATACAAAATGTCAATTACTTGTGTTTGACAACCCACTTCATTGATCCTAACTGGATAATGCAAAAACGAATTTTAATTTTTTGTATTATTAAGAGTCATACAGGGGTAAACATCGAAAATGCAATTGATTTTTGCATGGATGAATGGGGCTTGGATATCATGTGCATTACAGTTGATAATGCATCATCTAATGATACGGCCATCCAACAACTGAAAAAAAAAAATGATGTGAAAAAATTCTTTGGTCTTGAGTGGGGAAGCTTTTTACATGAGGTGCTTTGCTCATATTTTGCAATTGATTGCTAAAATGGCCTTGAGTTTGCTTGTGATTGGCAAAGATTCGGATCATTGTGCGGTATGTAAGGGCTAGCCCGCAAAGGCTAGATTTGTTTAAAAAATGTTGTGAAGAAGAAAAGATCGCTTCTTTGATATTAGATTGTCCTACAATGTGGAATTCAGCTTATTTGATGCTTGAAACTGCTTTAATATTTCAAAAGCGTTTGATAAGTTGGAAGATTTGGATGAGAAGTTTTTAAAAGAGTTTTGTGATCAGTTGCCTTGTGAGAATGATTGGAATTATGTTGCTCATTTCAAGAAATTTCTGAAGCGATGTTATGATGTTACGTGTAAATTATCAGGAACATTGTATGCAACATCAAACATGTATTTTCCTGAAATAATTCGCACTCTGAAGGAAATTGAAAATTTTGAGAAGAGTGGCAATATGTCTTTGATGGAAATGGGGAAACAAATGAGGGACAAGTTCGATAAATACTGCGGGTCTATCAACAAAATAAACATCATACTTTTTATTGTTGTGGAACTTGATCCTAGATACAAGATGAAGTATTTGAGGGTCAAATATACATTCCACTATAGTGATAGAGAAGCCGATGAACTGGTGGATAAGGTAACTCGATCTGTGAAAAGTTTGATTGAGGATTACAGTATCTTGAATGAAAAAGGTGATGGGGTGAATGACAAGGGTGAGTCTAAAAGGGTTAACGAGGGCACTAACATTGATGATGATGTTGATAATTTTTTTTTCTGGAAGAAGAAAACCAACTAAAGGCAACTACTATTTGGAGGAGATTTCTAAAAAAATACAGCCCTGATTTAGATATTTTGGCCTGGTGGAAAGTTAATTCGATTAGGTATCCCTATTTAAGTTGTGTTGCAAGGGATGTTTTGGGCATTCAATCATCAACCGTGGCTTCCGAATCTGCTTTTAGCACTGGTGGTCGAACTTTGGATCGCTTTAGGAGTTCTTTAACTCCTACTACAACCGAAGTTCTTATTTGCTGCCATGATTGGCTACAAAATACCAAGTCACCTAAAGAAGTGGAAGAGTTATAAAAGATCTTGAGAATCTTGAGACGGGTATGCATTTCATACAAAACATTTCACAACTTTAGTTGCTTTACATTAACTTATGTTATTCCATATATAGTTCTAAATAGTATTTGTTTTACATTCATTAAAATTCAATTTTTTTCTCTTATTCTTATTGGTGTATGATTGTCTGATCGTCTTGATTAATGTTTATTTTACAGATGCAATGCAAGATTCGGATATTAAGGGAAGCTTACTTTCACGGACATCTTTGGATATTTGACTAATAAAGACATAGAGGTATTCATCTATATGATTATTTTCTAATGTTGTTTTATTGTATATGGGAAAAAGGTATATGTTAATGAGGATTTGATGAGTGTCCTGCTGGAGAGAAGACTTGGAATGACAAGATTGTAATTCTAAATGTTTACTAGTTACTATCTAGCAGAAGTGTATATGCATATACTAAAGTTTTTCCTTTTTGATGTGGATAGAATAGTTTAATTATTATTATTATTAATATTATTATTATTATTATTATTATTATTATTATTATTATTATTATTATTATTATTGTTGTTGTTGTTGTTGTTGTTGTTGTTGTTGTTGTTGTTGTTATTGTTATTGTTATTTAGTAGATTGGTGAACAAGTTAGGTTTAGGGCTTTAGGAGTCTTATTTAAAGACTCCTTCTTCTTTGTTATTTGAGAGTTGATTATTGAATGAAGATATTGTTGAGTTTTGTGAGTTTTACGAGAGAGTATCTCGTTTATTCGTTTATCTTTCCACTCGTACGCTTCCCTACATCAATTGGTATCAACAGTCAGTACGATTCGCGATGTCGTCGGGGCAACAAGATGCCACAAACCAACAACGTGATGCAACCTTCAACGATCGGTTTCAACAGATCGACTACCGATTTCAACAGTTGGACGTGCGTTTCACGAATTGGTTTGCAGATCTTTCGGCGGGAATTGAGGATTTGCGTTTCACGCTTAACAACGTGGTCTGGGATTTGCATATGAACCGTGCCGCCAACGACTGGGGTGTGCATGGGGGAGTTCACGGAGGAAGTAGAGGTCGTGGTCCAGGCGGGGATCCTCGTCGGCGATCTCCACAAACGCCATCAAGCGATGTAGACGGCGCGAAGACCATCACGGAGGTGTATCCCTTCGGAGAGTGACCGCCTTCGCCCGTTGAGACTGAGCTCGTTGCTGCACACGATGGCCAAGATGTGCGGCAACAAGGTGTGGTTTTTGAAGAAGATGACGGACTATTGTACGATGGTCCGCCTATTTTCGATGAGGAGCCTCCGGGGCCGGAGGATTTCATTGTGGAGTGTAATTCTCTTTACAACAACACCAACAAAGATTGTAACCAACCTTTTTTGGGAGAGAGTGTGCATGCCAGGGGCGTAGGTCCTGCTCCAATCCCAGTCGAGGATTTTTCACTTCACAAGCTGGTAGTTGAAATTATTTGTATGATGCATCATGAGGTTAAGCAAAGTTAAATAGAACTGGCACAAGTAATGGAAGATGACGATGGGGTGATTTTTACACGTCAAGTTATTGACCATTCAGATGGTGTTGAATTTTTTTATGATGTTCGGGGATGTTTGGGTTTGAAGTAGGGGTCATATGTTGTGTGGGTCAGCTAGAGTGGACGTTGGGAGACATTCAACTTTTGTGATCGATAGGGAAAAACGTCGGACGATGATTGCCATGGGTACGACTCTAGTGTCGGCGCGTTTTTGTGCGGCTTCGAGGGCGAAGACTTCTGAACTGGATGAGAATGATGCAGATCGGATAATTTAATTATTATTATTATTATTATTATTATTATTATTATTATTATTATTATTATTATTATTATTATTATTATTATTATTTAGTAGATTGGTGAACAAGTTAGGTTTAGGGCTTTAGGGGTCTTATTTAAAGACTCCTTCTCCTTTGTTATTTGGGAGTTGATTATTGAATGAAATAAGATATTGCTGAGTTTTGTGAGTTTTATGAGAGAGTATATCGTTTACTCGTTTTATCTTTCCCACTCGTACGCTTTCCCTACATCACTTTTTTTCTTTAATATTTACTCTTATGTTCTAGTTCTTGTTGGAAATGTGGAACAATGGAAGATGATTGAATATCGGAGTAGAAGTTGTTTGCACGGGGTTCGTGATCCATGAAAAATATGATGTTTTTTTTTTTTGAAATTTGGTGGAACTTGAATGACACCCTTTGTTCATTTTGATCTTATATTTGGAATTCTAACTTGTGAATGTTTTGCTAGTTTTTCTCTTGTTAATGGAGTATGTTGAAGTTGTTGGACTTGCTTATGTGTTGGATCTTGTATTTCTATTGTTAGTTTAGTGTTGGACATATTTTATATGTGCAGCAGGTTTTAAAAAAAAATTGAATATCTCCGAAATCTCCGAACCATATCGAACCGACCCATTAGACTTGAATCCTCGAACCGAATTTTGATCTGGTTCGGAACGAAGATCTTTTGGAACCGGTTCGGTTCTGGAGATCTGAATTTTGGGATCTCCAAAGTTTGAGTCGGTTCGGTTCTAGAGATTTTTGTATCTCCGAACCGAACCGTGCTCAGCCCTATCCACAAATTGCGTCAATCAATCGTTGAATTATAGACCACCATCTCAAAAGATTTACCTTTCATATTTTTGGGCATTTTTTTTTTTCTTTTTTGGTATTAAACTGAAGTATAAGTTACAACTGTTAATAAATTTCGTTTTTTGGGAACTAGATTTCTTGGAGTTGTTTATGTCCACTAATTTTGTGTGTTTTTTTCATTTCTAGTCTATTATTTATTTTTGTTTGTTTATTTTCATTGTTAGTAGTGTTCGCCATTATTTTTTATCCTTTTACGCTTATTTTGATACCCCCAACATTATTCCTTTATAGATTCATTTCATTAGTATTTCACCTCCAAATGACCACTCAAGTCAATTCTTCAATCCATCCAGTTTACTCCACTATTTCGAGTATAGTTAGGTGAGAACTCTAACCCCCAGCTTGCAACTTCCACATCTCAATCCGAGCTACCTTTGTTTGTCGAACATATGGAGCGAGCTGCTAACATGTCATCCGAGCTATATATAACTCGAACTGAGCTATTCATCCCAAATAAACCGTTAGACCAAGCTAAGGTTGTATCTATAATTTTATCGACATCTAGAGTGGATGAAGAAACGAGAAAACTTGTCCAGATCAACTCTTTTTACTAGAGCCCCACAATATCTATCCAAAGTAATCTTATAGAGAATGAACTGTCTACGGCAAAGAAAAGATGAATAATGACACGAGCTTCGACAAATGTTGGTTCCTTTCAAGTCATGTGCAACAACAGATTTGCAAATTAGATTTGTAAATCTTAGTAAGGAAAGAGGAGGTTTCCATATAATGCTTTTAGGAGGTTAATAAAGTGATGTAAGGAACCGTACGATTGAGACGATATTAATGAGATATCTACACCATAAAGCCACTCAGTTCCCATTTACATTAAAAAAAGATGAAAGAGAAGAGAATGAAGCACAAATCATGATCCATCAATAAATCTAGGATAGGCAAAATAAGATACTAATCCCATCAATTGACATGGTATTTCCATCATTTTCTTTTTCTTTTTTTTTTCTTGAAACTAGTAACTTAAACTTAGAGCAACTTTAACGGGCGCATTTCATGAGGTTTGAAAACGCCACGCTGATAGCTTTTGCCATTAGAAAGAAGAGGGTGTAGGTTTGATTTCTTAAACCGGTGTTGCAAACGTAGAGCTCTAGAATTAAATAAAAAAAAAAAAAAAAGAAAAAATGTAAGCAATTGAGAGCAAGTGTAATACAAGCATACTTTTCAAAGACAAAATCAATTTAGTTGCAACTCACGCGCGTCAGGTAGTGTGACTAGTATTGGGCCCACATTTAAAAGCAATCACTCATTTATTTACCAAATTTTGTAAACTAAAATTTGATCTATACCATATTTCATGTCCATATTTTCAATAAAATATTGAGAATTAAATAAAAATAGTGTTGTTGTTATTTGATCTATACCATATTTCATGTCCATATTTTACTCATTTATTACCAAATTTTGTTATTTCAATCGTTATTAGTAGTGTTGTTGTTATTTAATGTTAATGTTTTTTTTTATTATTGTTAAATATAAATACCATAAATAATATGTATATTTTGCATTATTATTGTGAGATATATAAAATTAAATGATAACTATAATATTTATTACTTTAAATATTATACTATCTAATTTGTATGAAATAATTTCTTTTATTATTTTATATTATTATTGTGAAAAAATTAACATTAATATATATAAGGTCATCTCCAGCCCTTATCTCTACTCTAGGCTGCTTTACTCTACTCTAGAGTAATGTTGAACATTCATCTCCAACCCTTATCTCTACATTTTACTCTACATTAAATATATTATTTTTTATTCATTTTTTATTTCAAATAAATTGGTATATATGTATATTTAATCTTATATAAAATGTTAATTACTTAAATAATAAAAATATATTTTATTTAATTTTATTTAACATTATTTGCTATATATGAATATGTAATGTTATATAAATGTTTATTACCCAAATAGTAATTATAAAAATTATGTATTAAAATTTTAGAAAATGATTTAGGGCATATATAGTCTAGACCATATATGGTTTATGGCATATATTTACAGTTTAGATTTTCTTAGTGAATATATGCCCTAAACCATATATGGTCTAGACTGTAAATATGAAATAAACTTGTAAATATGCTCTAATTACTCTATTATGAACAAATATAAAATAATATCATATTAATTATATTAAATATCATATTATATAATTTTCACGAAATTTAAAAAAAAATGTATTCTTTAAACTTAATTTTCAATTTAAAAGATTGTTTATTTTATTTTTTACTATTTAAAAAACAAAGAAAACTAAAAAAAAAATAATTTATAAATTAAACAAACTTAAAGGACCAAAATGTAAAAAAAAAGATGGAACGCAAAATTTGCGTTCAGACGCAAATATGCGTCAATCTGAAGAGAGAGAAGGTTGAGATCGCAATTTGCGATCGGTTTTTGACATCGGTTGGAGCTCCCTGTACTGCAATTTTTGCGTTTTGCAGTACGGTTGGAGAAGGTCTTAGAGGATAAAAGTTTAGTTTTTTCTATTAATTCCTTAATTTTTATATTATTTATTTATTATAAAATTTTGGTCAACATGTGTTGTCACTTCAAAATGAAAAGTCATGCACTCATGAAGTGGGTGGTCACATGCATTATCTCATCATAAGATTCCACCCGTGCTAAACTTTCACTATTGCAATTGTAGTGTCGCATTATTGCATCTTATCTTATCATGATAGCATGCTATCTTCAATGGTCCACATGCATATGAATTTTCGGCTATAAAACCATGAGTAGATTTGTATAAGTCTAAAACATAAATTAATCTTCATGTTAGCATAGAAGTGGTAATGGATAGAAACCCAAATTTTTCTAATTTCAATATGCCTAACTCTTCTGAGGACGATAGTCCGTCTTCAGCAAATTCTCGCTATCGTAAGAGTATACCTCATGTTTTTGGCCAATTTCCTACAATGCAATTGCAATCCCAATTTCAAAATTTTCCATATCCATAAATTCCCTCATTTCCTATTTCCCAAACTTCAGAAAATCATGTCTATCCTCAACAGCAAAATGCGATGAACATGAATCAGTCGCAGTATATGTGGCCAATGGCATTCCAGTATTGAATGCCAAATTCACTTGGTATGCCTTTTCAACCTGGTAATTTCATACCAACAACTATGACTAATGGGCCTACTGGCTCACAAGATTCCCTAAGAGCTACCACGGGGCCAGAGGTTGAAGGTCTTGACAATATTTGTCTTAATACTGAGACAGAAGAAAATAAAGAACCTGATCCAAAAATACGTGGGAAGGCGTCGGCAATATCATGGACACAAGAGGAAGATATGTTGCTTTGTCGCGCATTTTGTACTATCTCGAGTGATCCCATCATCGGTGCTCAACAAAGTTTTGAAGGCTTCTGGAAACGAATCACTCAATATTATAATGAAACAGCTAATGCTAGAAACTTGCTTGAGAGATCTATGGATTCAACAAAATCTCACTTCTATGCTTTTCATGCAGATTGCCTTAAATTTAATGCATCCATAAACAGGTTTCGGGCTGACCAAAGGAGTGGTGAAAATGATGCTATTGTGTTACAAAATGCATTAACAGAGTGGAATAGTGAAGGAAAAAGAAAAGGAGGCTTCAAGTGGCTTCATTGTTGGGAGATTTTGAAGAATATCCCAAAATTTCAAGGGACTGGTGGAGCAAGTCGTGGAGGAAAAAAATCTAGGACATCAGAGTCGGGAGATCACACTTCTGGATCTGGACAAGATGTGGAGCATGTTGGTGATGACGATGAAAGATATGTGCGTCGCCCCATCGGCCAGAAGGCAGCGAAGGATGCAAAACGAAAGGGAAAAAGTGGCACAGGGAGTAGTACTGATCAAAGAGCTAAACGTATGTTGGATGCATTTGGACAAATTATGAGTATGCACGAGAAGCAACAAAAGGAGATAAAGAAGTTGGTACGCATAGAGTCGTGGAAGACCTATAGAGAAATGCTAAAGGAAGATACTTCAACTATGACTGAAGAAGAATTAGAAGCTCATTATGGGCTTCTTGCAGAACTGAAAGAGGAATTAGGCCTCAATTAAATTTGACAATGTATTTTATTTGTGTTTCTCGTATTTTGTTTGCAAGAATTTGTATTGCAATTTATTTTTATGTATTGTAACGTGTCTAATTTTAATGTTTGTCATTTTGTATTTTTCGTCTACCGTGTTCACTGTCTCTATCCAACTGCATTGATTATATTTGAACAAAATAAATGCTCACCAACCATATTAAATATGTTTGAAAGACATGTCACGTGGTTCCAACCTACCACTTGTAAAACCTTACCTTTAATATCTCATCTTCACATTATAAAATGGAGCATTGGTAGACTCAATTGGACACCAACCACCTTCAGCAAACAACATCATTTTTTATTCTTCTTTTACTTTTCTTTTTCTCAAGTCTCCATTTTCCTCTTTATTATTTCTAATAAAATGTCTAGACGTACAAATGACAGAGTAGCATATCGTGCGTTCTTGAAAAGTATGCTTGATAATTCTCTCGCAAAAGCTGAATTTGCCTTGATGGAGGCAGCTATTAATGAGTTCCAAGAGGACGAACAAGTTGAAAATTCAACAAGGCGAGAAAGGCGAGTAGTGCACCGAGATCGTGATGCTGGACACACTCTACTTGTAAGAGATTATTTTTCTAATGAGCCCACCTATCACGAGGGCTTTTTTCGTCGTAGATTTCGTATGTCTAGACGTTTGTTTTCTCGTATTGTTGATTCTATTGAAAACCATTCTGATTACTTTAAGAGCAGAGTAGATGTGACTGGTAAAAAAAGTTTTACACCTATTCAAAAGTGTACCGCTGCTATACGTCAACTGGCATATGGAGCACCCGCTGATCAGTGTGATGAATACTTACGCATGTCAGAACAGACGGCAAATAGAAGTCTCATCGAGTTTTGTCGATGTGTGCGACAAATATTTGCATCCCAATACTTGCGTTCACCCAATGATGCTGACATTCAACGACTACTTGCATTACATGAGGGAAAACATGGTTTTCCGGGAATGCTAGGAAGTCTTGATTGTATGCACTGGGAATGGAAAAATTGTCCAGTGGGTTGGCAGGGCTCATACACTCGAGGGGATCATGGAATACCCACAATAATGCTTGAAGTTGTAGCCTCACAAGACTTGTGGATCTGGCATGCCTTTTTTGGACTCGCTGGATCACGAAATGATATTAATGTGTTACATGAGTCTCCACTATTCAATGATGTTTTACATGGGGTAGTACCAGAGGTAAATTTTACAGTAAATGGAACCCATTATAAAAAAGGCTATTACTTAACAGATGGTATCTATCCGGAATGGGCAACATTTGTCAAAAGTTCAATGTCCAGAGGATCCAAAGAGAAAAAAGTTTAAGCAACGACAAGAGGCTGCAAGAAAAGATGTTGAACGTGCTTTCGGAGTTCTCCAGTCAAGATGGGCAATTGTACGTGGTCCAGCTCGTTTTTGGTACAAAGAAGATCTTAGTGAAATAATGTTATTGTGTATTATTTTACATAATATGATAATTGAGGACGAGGGTGAGGAGGCAACTAATTGGTCCAATGAAGACGGTGAACCGCCCATCCAAACACATCAAGGTCGTCCAACAAATTTTCGTCGCTACTTGCAAATACGAGCTGAAGTGCAAGACAGACAAGTTCATCATCAACTTAGGCATGACCTAGTTGAACATATATGGAATGAATTTGATTATTAAGAGTAGTATATCGATCATGTATGAAAATGTTAATTTTTATCGCAATGTAGTTTTCGGTATTTTATATTATTGTAAGATTTATGTGTAATCGAATTTTCTTATTATTTATTTAATTTTTGTCGGCATGTAATTTTATATTTTTTATATTATTGTAAGGTTTATGTGTAATAAATTTCACTTATTATTATTTTTTATTAATTGTACGTAAAATATATTTATTATGATATATAATAAATATGTTATTATAAAAATTATGAGTAGTGTTTTTAATAAATATGAATTAAATTGATATATAAATTAAAGTAAGTGGAAACATGTGGAGCCCAATAAAAGAAACTTTTTGAGGTTCATGGTTATTGGAGGTTTGTGATATGGAGAGTAAGAATGAGGTTTAGATGATGTGGAGTATTGAGAATGTAAAAAGTAAGGTTTATAAACCTTACCCATTAAAGATGCTCTTACACCCATTTACCTTCATGTTACCAAAAAATCATGGCTCTTAAGAAGAAGAAGAAGAAAAGACATGCTAAAGACTGGTTTTCAGGATATTCTACACTGGACAGAGGACATGTTAGCTGTCCAAAATGGCCGCTGCGGACCGATCTTTAAACCACTGCATTAATGTTAATCATATTTAATAAACAATTACAGGATAGATTAAAATGAAGCTAACTGGTCCAGTGCGTACAACTAAAAGGTAACCTGTACTACGAGTTCGAGTTCAATGTAACCAGTATGAAGGCTTCACAATGTATATCGAAAATAATCAGTTAATCCTGGTACCTAAGGAATGCCATAACAATACAGGTAAAACAAAGATCCTGTTTCAAGAATAGGATTCTCACTAGGAACAACAATTGGGACATAATTAATTTCATATACATTGCATATGCACCCATCTCAGGAAACTGTGGTTCCAACAATGTTAAAAAAAAAAA